GGTAGTAAAATTAAATTAAGAGTAACATCTGGCCCTCTGTTCATCATTGAACGTCTAGAAAAAAGAGGATACGAGTTGGACCGAAGCGGAGCTTTAACAGTCATGAAATTATTCGCTAATTACGAAGCGTTCGAGAAGTCAGGTGATCTTGACGAATTTTGGCACCACGACGAGGAATTGACGACGCACATGAAAGCGATAAGGATAAATTCGAGCCTTTCGCTCTACGACCTCATGCAGTTACGACCCGAAGAGGCGGTAAAACTAGTCTCACATACGGACTATTACGAGTTTGCGTTCAATGGTGCCATGTGGAAATTACCCGAAAACTCGTTCAGACCTCACGAGGCGTTTGTTACACACCTAGGCGAGAAATTATCGAAAAGATTTTTTCGACGATGGGCACTGGATCCTTTTATGGTGTTGACACGTTATCGGCTGCCAATTCTTTGCTGCGATATGATCATCAAGCGGCTGAAGAACGAAGATTTATATCATATTTGCTTGGCGACAACAGCTTAAAGCTCATGATTGCTTGTTTATTTTCAAACTATTTGTATAACGAAAAATTTTCACAACGGTATACAACTAGCTGTAGCACAAAAAAACCATCATGTAAAAACTTGCGCTCTGATACATAAGTTTCTATAGAAGCAGAAATAAATTTGTTTGTTTTCCAATCAGTGTTACAATCGAAATAAATAAAAAATAATGGATTCATTAAACTTCTTGTTCTCAATTTCATTCCAATTTCATGGACACAAAAGTCATACAATAATAAGTTACGCACCTTGCCTCGGGTCTCGATACTTGAATTCTATTTCCCCAAAATTCGCCGAAGACAGAATCAACGCGAAACGAGAGGGTAAAAAAGCACGTTGGAAGTAATGAAAGATATATCAATGGCATCGAGTTTAAGACTGCATTAATCTCATGGTCGATAAATTGAATCATCGATCGACGCTGAAAAGTGAGTTAAATGCATCACGTACGCGGGTTCCCGGTTGTATCACAACGTCGCGTCATTAAATCTTAATATCGTCCCATAAAAGTCACGAGGCTCGACTCGTTCCTCGGTCTCTCCCGTATTATATCTGTATACAAGGAGGAATTTCAAATTCTCGGAGCATACTCGTATACGCGTCTCATCTTATATATAGAAAATAACAGCTATCGCTCGCATGATGTGCTATCCGTGTGTGTGTGCAGTGCAGCTGGCTACAGAGAAATGCATCGTGAAATATTGATTACTATCGGAGCTGCGAAATATATACGCGCGTCGGTGGCGGCGAGCTTGCAGCTGACCCCGTCACACGTAGCGCGCGCGCGTTTTGCGCTGCCCCCCCGAGTACACGAGACGTCAACTTTTCAGTCCCTCTCTCTCTATCTCTCTTTCTGTATCGCTATCTCGAAATCTGCCCCACAGAAATTGTGCTTTCTCGCGCGCGAATGTCTCGCTGTGTGCCCGCGCGAGATAGGCTGTTCTAGAATCGAGTTGACAGTGTAGCCAAAGTCATTTGTCTAGCTTCGTACGCCTATGTACACGTATATAGCTTTATGTAACACCCGGGTGGCATCGGGTGAATACAACGAATGTCGTATTCGAATGCACGTGTTATTATTATACGTGTATACGCATCGGCGTAAATGTATATCATGTGCCCAACGAAACACGTAAAAAATTTCGAATTAGCGCGTTGCAGGTCGTCGTGTAGTTTTGCGCGGATATACACGTGTATAATCTGCCTTGTCTCCGTGTCAATGTGCTACATATACACGTAGTTCAAGAGTGTACATACGAACACGTACAGCGAGCTGCAAATAAAAGGTTCATCTCCGCACACGTCGGGCGGCGCAGCTATATAGGCTCGGTCGAGAGAGAAGAGAGAGAGAGAGAGACAACAATCGAGTCGGCATTATTCCGCCGCCGGTTTCTCTCCGTCTCTCTTTCTCGCTCTTTCTCGCGCTCTTCCATATGACCGGACTCGAGGAGGGTGCGGATTTAGGTTGGGATTATGCGCGTGACTGGAAACCCCGAACGCAGAGGGGCATTTAATTGCCGCGCTCGGAATGTAGGTCAAAGTGCAGAATTGCGCTCTCTCTTTCTCTATATACGTATTAAGGCATATATACACGTGTGTAGGCGGTACGCGTGCAAGCACAAAGTCAGAAGCTGCTGTATATATAGCAGCTCCGCTGCACAAACCAAATGCGCATCGCTAGTTTTACGACAACCGGCCACCTTAATTCTGCATCGAAAGGAAGAAGAGCCACGAGAGGGTGACGAGCACTGCACGAGACTCGAGCTTGATCACTCTACTCGTGTGCATGCCTAGGTAAATGACCGGAACGCGACTGTGGCAATAAAAAAGCTCGATGCCTGCCCTCGTATGAGCAGCGACGGCGTCTTGAAGGTGGCTCGCATATAGTACGATGTGTTATAGGCACCACCACCTCGAGCCCTTACCCGTGCACACTGCAGCTCGTGGCGCTATGTGTGTTAGTGTGTATGCAGTGCCAAGCCAACTTTCGCGGAGCTTAACCTTCTTTTCATAGTGCACACACATGTACGGTGAACATATACTATATAGGTAAAAAGCTCGCCTGCACAAACACACGCTGGGCGCGTGACGTTACCATTTCCTCGTGTACGTTGCGGCTACGTGTACGTGTACTCGAGTCGGTATATACTGCGGTTTTCAATTTTTTTTCTTCTGTGCTCTTGCTCGGTCACCACGTACGAGCGCGCGCGCAGCAGTACCTTTTAGCTGTGCGCTCGAAGAAACGGATTATGCCCCTTCACACGTTTTGACTTTGTGCGCGCGCCAGTCGTTATAATACACGTCGTATCGCGACCTAAATTCGTGCGCTTATAAGCTAGATGAAGCTTACGCGAAGGATTGATTGCAATTATGATCAGCGAGCCGTACGAGTGTGTGTGTGTGTGTGTGTGTGTGTATGTACGTGTACCGAAAATTCGTCATGTCCGTTATTCAATTTTCACCTCGGTCTACGGCATACATACGATCTAATTGGATATATTATCCAGCGACTGGCTAATTTTTATCCTCGTTTCGGCTATACACGGGCTCGGCTTCGGTTGCTTTTGGCCCGTATATATTTATTTACCAACCAATTGCATCGCTAGCGTGCCACGAGGAAACTTCATTAATAATTCATCGAGACGGCGACGTATACTCGAAGCTAACGATCCTACGTATATATGTATGCGCGTTCGCGTCGTGCTGGTGCGGAAAAGTTGCAACGACAATCGGTCCGAGAACACACGGGTGATTATGCGCTTGCGGCCAAACTGTGCACCGATACACGTTAACTTCCGCGTACGTTACGTCGAGTATATACGCAGACGTCGTTCGCGCGCAACGCGTTTGCCATTTACCGAGCTGTGGCGAAAGTAATCCAGAAGACGACACTATGTTTTTGTTTCAAAATTTGGAAGTTCGCTCGAGGTATCTGTCGAAAGAAAAAAAAACGCACTCGCACGTAAGCGTCAAGTGCGCAAGTTTTGGCACGCTAAAGAGCGATTGCATCGCGGCGAGCCTCGATAGTTTTGAAAGTCGAAAATCTTCGATACAAAAATTTCGTAAGCTCGTGCGCGCGAGTATTGGAAGCACAGGTGCAATTACGTGTATATACGTGCAGCGAAGCGTCTCTTTATTCTTTCTCACGTTTCCAGCATCGTGCCATTTCTTCTTTGCAGTTCAGCGGAGCGCGCGCCACTACTAACGCGCGAGAGAAAGAGAGAGAGAGAGAGAGAAAAGAACTAACGAGCTTACAAACGGGTAAACAAGACTGCCGCTAGGAGGGAGGAAGTGCAAAATGCGAGAGGGAGAATATACGCGGTTTAGTTTAGCCTGGTACGTATAGCACACGTTACCAATACCTGTATAGGCGTATATAGTAGTATAGGTGTTATAGACATCGGTGCCGATGCTCGGGCGCGCGAAGCTCGGGCACGGAAGCCATTTGTAAACGCTCGGGCAAATACATTCGTCTTTTTCGCCCATCAGGCATGGCGAGCTCCACTCACTCCGCGATGTGTGTATGCAATATATATATCGACGCTCGAGCTGTCCTACATTCAAACACCACTGCCTCGATCCCTGTACAGCATATTATATATCGTATAGACGCATATAGGTACAGCGGGCTGCATTACTTATTGATATAAATGAGATGAAAATTTAGAATGCTGCACGTGGCCACGCACGTATAATACACGTGTATTAGGCAAGCCGTGCGCGCTCGTGTTCCGCGCTCGCGGAGCTTTGTATTATGCCGCGGAATATAAGCTCGCAGAGACGCCCGAGGTACCTTATTATTCGATACGACGCATTCGAGAATAGCTCGAGCTTATTCGTGTATGCGTTTGCGTTCTATCGCTGCGTGGAATATCGGCAGCTGTTTTTATAACTTCGATTTTCTACGTGATCCTGAATCCGAAAGCATCGCTATGTAAAAACGAATCTTATCTTCTTATGCGCTTATTTTTCAATCGTACTATTTACTCTCTTTTTGGCGCTTCGTGTGCATGGTTAACAATTAAAGTGATTTTAATTACTTGTTCACGCTTACGATTGAGGTACTAATTTCCAAAACAAGCAACGAGTAATTACATTTGCCTCTGTATAATATCGCTTATAAAACAGCGTGAAACATAAACAAGTCGCTTTTTTAGTATTTAGTATGATTTTTATTGGCATTAGTGACAAGTCGCTTTCGGCTATATGAAAACCTGCTGCCATCTACGTTTCGTTCCGAGTTCTATGACATTATTTACCAGGTGCGCACGACGTTCAGCATCGAGTATATTTTCTTGCCTCCGGCGATTAATGTTCCATTCGCAAAAGTGTCAATAAATTTTGGACATTTTCGATACAGTTTATTGTTGGTGACGACTATGTACAAAGGGGTTTATCAAAAGGGCCTGTCATTGTATTATTTAAAAAAGAAGAATTGAACGTATTTTGAAAACTCACCTTTTCGAGACGTCTTGGCTCGCTTTTGGCACTTTATCATCCGACGTCGGGATACTCTCGCCCGTCACACCGACGACGTGACCGAGCTCGCGCGAATCAAGGCCGGTGTCGAGAGCACGATCACTCCTCGGCGCGGCTAATAACAAAGTTTGCTCGCTCTCCTCGCCGATGTGAAACTTCACTCGGGGCAGCGGCTGCTGCTGCTCGTGGCTCGTTATGCGACACGCGCTGTCGCTACTGACGCGACTCAATTTCCTCTTGGGCTTGGCGTCGGCGAACTCACGGTCGAGCGGTCGCGGCCCGTCGTCGGCCTCCTCGTTCACGCGCGACAGATCCATCAAGATCTCGGGCTTGATGTTCTTCTCCGACACCTTGTTGTCGTCGCTGCGCAGAGTCAGGGCGGTTTCCGACGCGCTCGGCTTTAGCGTCGTCGCAGCCGTGGCCGACGTCGCCGTGGACGTGGAAGGCGGCGTCGACGTTGCGCCGGCAGCTTGCAAACGATCGCTCGAGTCCGCCGCTCGTTCCTCCCGCAGTCGTTTGTCTTGCTCTCGAGGGGCGGCTTTCTTGGCGTCCTCGCGTTTGGCCAGCACAGTCGTCGCTGCCTCCTCTTGACTGAGGATTTTCGCCGTGACCAGCTGAAGCTCGGGCAGTTCGCCAACGGGACTAACTTCCTTCAGCTCCGTCGCTCCGAGGAATGAATCCTGCATGTCGGCCGAATCAAAGCTCTCTATGCGGATCTCCTCTTCGACCGAGCAAATGCGAACGGTTTTTTTCGTGGTTTCAATCGGCACCACGACGTATTCGTCCTTTACCAAAAGACACAAAACATTATTATTAAATAATCAGAAGAAAAAAGAAATTTATTTGGATGCACGAATAAGCACCTGTGGATCCTTAACGACGGATTCAGCAGGATCTTCGCGTCGCCTCCTGAGCGAGCTTCTCCTCTTGGTCGCCTGCTCGTCAGGTTTTTCGACGATTAGATAGATCGGCTCTCTCTGCTCGACGAGGGGCGTAGTCTCGCTGGCCTCGTCCTCGACGTCGTCTTCGGGACTGACCTCCTCGGGAGCCGCAGCAGCCGCGGTCGAGCCGACGAGTAGGCTTTCGAAGGTCCGCGGTATGCTCTCGCTCGCTCGAGCAGAAGCCTCGGCTGCATTCGGGGGATGCTCGAGATAACGCGCGACCCGCTCCATGCTCTCCATGTGGCGGAGGCTGCGTCGACGAACGTCATGCTGCTGCTGTTGCTGCTGCTGACGAGCATCAGGTGTGCTCATGCGGCGTTTCAGCGCCTCTCGCACGGCTGTATGGGTATAAGATAGATGGGCCAAGTTGAAAAGGAGAGAAAAGTGGAAAACCAAGGATTCGCAAAGTTGGACGCAGCTCGTTAAGAATTCCGCAAGATCTCTAGATCGCTCGACGATATACCGACAACGATCTGAACGCGTGCAAAAGTTTCACCAACTCGTATATACTGCACACTTCGTGCGCTGTTTTATGCGTTTAATTTTATAAGCGGCCCATGATTCACAGGCTTGATTTTACGTCTTTCGAGTCGAGTCGAGGCGCGCTTATATAGACCGCGCCACGCGCTGATCGCTCGCAGCTGCCAGAGTTTCATTGTGAGGGCGCAATCTAAAGGCAGTCGGTTTGATCGACGGCTTATATAATATAATGCGCCGCGCGATTGAAATATCTGCGCGCACGGGGCCGGGGCTGCGTTTGACATTTTTGAACGATTCGATCGATCGAATTCTACATCCCTGCCGCCGACGCGTACGCGAGCTTCTGGCGCTTAATTAAATTTTTTTACTCGAACGCATGTTTCATATAGCCCGGCGAAGTAATTATTACACGCGAATCGAGCACGTCTAAAACGTATATATACTCCGAGAAGCGAATGTAATTGTAAACGTGTATTCGAACACGCGACGCTCCGGCATTCAACGAATGGATAGCCGATAATAAATCATCGCAGCTGAACCAAAAGCAGCCCCAGTTACAGCGGAATAAACGTGTTTGCGAAACAAATGTGTGTGTGCAGCTGATTCAAGCTCACCTGCTTCCAGCAGCAAACCCTGACTGCGGGCTTCCTCGGGCGTGCGGACGACCGCAGCGGCAGCCCCGCTACTCGCCCGCCTCGGCATCAGCAACAGCGGAGTCTCTTCAGCGGCTTCGTCGTTGTCCTCCACCTCCACATCCTCCTTTCGATGCCGCTGCTGTTGCTCCGGTGCTCGACTCAGCAATGCCCTTCTCTCTCGCTCGGAAAAGGGCACTAACTTGATCAACGAGGAATGCGGCTCTTTTCGTTTGTCTTTGGCCGCAGCGGCGGCAACTTGGCTACTCATCGCGGCAGTGGCCACAGTGGTTAATTGATCGACGCTCGATGTAGTCGTGGTAGCCGTTCCTCCTGCGAACGACAGGGTCATCGCATCGTTCAGTCTCTCCGTTGAGAGAGAAATACGCGATGCAGCACACACTCGCGCGCAAGACATTGTAAGGTGCAAGCAAGGAGAGGAACACGGCTTTAAGGGAATGCTTTCAATGGCTTTACTCCTCTCGGTGCTTCGCTAGTCTCGCTCGACTGAGGAGCATAATGTGCGCGGCTGCTCTTTGCAGGAGATTTGGCGTGTGCACCGAGGATGATAACGACGTGCGACTGGCAAGGACATGACTACTCTGATATAGACTCAATTTGATAGGATCTGTGTAGCCGCAGCTTGTTACGTAATGTGCTCCCGTATATAGGCTCCCACAAGTTCGGAGATAATTTTTCAAGTTATCGAATCCAATGTACGTGCATTATATGCATATGATTTGATGATAAATCGAATAGATGTGATTAATTAATTTTCATTTGAATAACATGATAAGGAAAAATATTTTGATATTAAGAAATAAGATGTTAGAACTTTATCAACGTGCTGTAACAGCGTTAAAGCTTTTCCTGCTAGAAATGCTTTACAACGATAATAGCTAACTGATAAAACAAAACTATTAGGGCGTTTAAAAAAATTTAGACCAGTTTTCGGCCACTTTAAATACGGCTAAACTACATGAAACTTTCACCACTAGATGGCGATTATTTTTAACTGCAAATCTGCAAGTGGTAAAGTATTACTAATTGCATAAATCCAAACTCGATTTTTAAAAATTCAGTCGAGAAATGCCTATTACATGACTAAAAAACGTGAATCATTATGCAGCCATGAAATCTTAATAACTATTTTAAGCCCAAAAAAAATTTTTTTTAGCTAAAAACTAGTGATAAAATGTTAGGAATTTCTACCAGAGCTCAAGACATTTTTTATAATTGCTGTATATTTTCTGGTTAAACTCACGTCAAAGCACAAAATAAAATTTTCTCATAAGACTCGCTCAATTCTAGACTTTATTTTTTAATATTATTTTGATATTCCACAAAATCAAAATACATCAAATAAATGTATGTAATATTTTTAAAAATGTCTGAATTCGAGTTGTCATGTTCTCATGTTCTCGATCGTTTCAATGTTTAAATGCATTTTTTCACAATACGTGAATCGAAAAAAGTGTTGGTAGATAAAATTGATCCATGCAAACGTCGAGTTGTGTCATTACGATCGATGGGTGATTTACAAAATCATAGCATATAAACAGGTTGTTGGGAACAGTCTCACCTTCACGTGTAGCGATAAAGTCATCAATTTCAGCCGCATGTTCCGTGGCGTCGCTGTCCGGCAGACTTTTGCTGCGTTTGACCATGCACATTGTAGCCAAGCGCTGTGTGTGTACGCGCAAGAGAGAGCCAATATCGACAGAGTTGACATATAAATAAACAAGGTATTTGCAAATTATATCGCATTTTATAGAGCATTTCGTTGTTTTTATTCACTGTATACGTCGCCTCGATAAATCTCGAGTATCGTACTATAAGTCTCTTTCGCAAAATTTTTTATTTCATAACTATAGAGAAGCTCACGTATATCTATTATATATGAATGCACATTTCATCGTAAAGAAGCCTCGTAATATGCATATAAAAAATATAGCACAAAAACGTTAAACATCTATCACGAGATAAGCTTGCGATCTTTTTTTTCCTCTTTTATTTGAAAGAGGGGCCTCTAAACATGAGTGCCTTCCAGTTATGAAGGTGAATAAATGTTGTATGGTACGGGAATAGCTACCCTTCAAGTGTCAAAAATTATTAGCTTTTTTTTCATTGTTTGAGCTAGGAAATGAGAGTTTATTGCGTGTCAGAACATTGCAATTTCCCAGATATTGTATACCGTACAATCCCATACATCTTTCACCCGTTTAATAGATACGTATGTTTTTTTCTTCAATTGAATTCCGAGCCGAAATAAAGCATGATGCGATTACATTTTTTATTTTTATTTTTCATCGACGTAAATAAAAAGTTTCAAAATGAGCATCTGTGTCGATTGAACTGCTTCCGACACTCAAAAGCTTTTTCAAAGTTAAGCATTATTATAACTGTCCTGGACGTATATGATTTATTGTTGAGGACACTTTTAATTTAAGCATAAAAACATTGTGAAAATTTCATAAATATTCGCGCGTACAAAAATACGCAGATGCAGCTGGAAAACAAAAAAGTATAATGAAAAAACGTGCTCCACAGTTATTCATTACCCTTGTAACAGTTTGACGTTTCTATTGAAGAGCTTACACATTTTTCATCGAATTGCTGTTTTTAGTCGTTCCCTCCCACTGGGAAATGGAACGTGTAAAGAAGATTTTATACGTTAAAAGTCTAAACGAGCTTCGAGAGCTGACATGAATTTTGAAGCTGATTATGAAAAGTTTTCAAATTGAACCCCGAGGATTTTTGATTACCTCTGTGTACTTTTTTTCACGAAGGCAACGAGTAAAGCTATAAAAACAATATCACAGCCAGGCGGGAGGACTGAAACTCTTTTTGAATTGTTTTTTGTATAATGGCCAACAATTTCATGTGTTATAAATAAGATACAACCTCGTTGCGCATAACGCAAGCAGCGCAGCAATGGCAGCAGCAACGTGACACGTTTTGTACATCGTGTATTTACTCATACGCGGGTATATAGGCTGGGCCGTCACGCAGCTCTCGATACTAAAGTGCTGCGCGCTTGCGAGCACGTAATCGGCTTTTTAAGGGGTAGGAGAGGGTGGACTGATAACGCACAATGGCAACTCGTTACGTGCATCGTTCAATGGGTTGCCTCTCTCGCGCTTTCTCACTCCACTCGTTCATTGGCATCCATTTATATCCATAACCGTCCACTGCTTATCAAGTGTTTTTAAGCTTTTCACAAAAGCATCGCCAACTATTCAAAACTTATTGTATTCTTTCACATTATACCGAGAAAATTTTACGTTTTATTGTTGTTTTTATAGTTCGTATTGAGTGCAGAAAGTCTGCCTTTAAAATAATTAACTTTTTTTTTAATGAATCAAACAATATAGGGGCGTTAGAGAAGAAGCGCTTGATAATAATCGATGAAAAAAAAAGTTTTTTTTTTTAGTGCGCACAAGACAATTTCAAATAAAATGGCGAAAAAAGATCAACAGCAGTGCAGTTTCTAAATAGCTTAATGCAATAATAAAATAAAATAAATAAAAAATAAAATAAAAAATAAAATCGAAACATAATTCATGTAAAACTGGTACAATGTTAAAAGTGAATGTGTACTTACCCGACATATCTACCCGAATTAATCAAGATGAAAATCTTTATTGACCGTTCGCGTTAATATTATTATTGATTATCATGACAAGGGCAAGTAATAAGCAAAAATAAACCAAGTTGATATGTACAATGATTTTTAAATCTTTATTTAACGTCAATTTAAGATTTTTTTTTCATATATAATAAGTACTGATAAAACTGACACAATAAAAGACATATTGCATTTATTTGGTCAATAGTAGTTGTAATCAAGTTTGATTATCCTTCCGCGATCCGTCTCTGGAGTTTATAAGTTGTTCTGAAAATCAAGAGAATGTCTAAGTTAGCACCGTCAAAAAAGGTAACGGCAAGAGCTTAATTTTTTTTTTTATTTTTTTTATTTTTATTAATAGTAACTAATTTTCTGTTCTAACATCCCAAATAAAGGTAGAAATGTGATCAATAGTAAGAGAAAGAGAAAGAGAAAAAAGCACATTGGCTCATTCATCTGAATTGTCATGTATAATACTATTTTTATACAATAACTTCTGTACAATATGTATAGTATCAATCTTAATGAAAAAGTCAGGTCAAACTTTGTTTTTAATTCAATTTTTGAAGGAGGTAATGAGGCAGCGGGAAACTCACAAAAATACCCGGGAATTACGTATCAATCCCTTTTCTCAAGCTTTGCACGTATGTACAGTATATGGTTAAAACTATCATCTACGAGATTAGACAAAATATACACAAACACACGCAATATATGTAATGCTAAAAAAAGCAGAGGCATAGTAATTCATAGTAGAAAGATTTAGAGCTTGAACTGAATTGGTGTTAGTAAACTATGAAAAAATATATATTATTTGCAGACATACTTTGGAGATTTTAATGAAGTGTTTAGTTGCTGTTATGGACGTAAGAAAGATGTATTGATGCAATTAATAAAAGACTTAAATGATACAACCATCGTTTGTGTCTTGAAGCATTCAGCATAAATTCGTAGTCAAATGATTCTGTGCTGACAGTCATTATTGAAAGGTATGATAAAATTATGAATTTTTCATTCGAGTTATAGCTTACAAGCACACTTTCAAAAATGAAAATAGTAAATACAAATTAAATAAAATATAAACAATCAAAAGGTTAAAAATAAGTTCGGGCTAAAAATGCGAAAGGTCCAGGATAACTAAGATGATTAAAATTACCAATGAACTATTGTCTATGTAAAATGAAGTTAGATTTGATTTATAGGCTTTCAAATTATTTAATTATTTTATTTAATTATTTTATTTGTTAACTAAATAAAAGATTACTAAAATTATTATTCTAATTTTTAGATCTTTCTAGGAATCACTACTTTATTTGTAATACCTACCTCTATTTACGAGAATAACATACTCACTGAAAAATCGCGTTTTTCATACTTCACTCTCCTTTTACATCTTGTATGTCATCACCAATGATATAAAACTTTTAATAATCAATTTCTAGAAAAATTTATGATGACCAAGAAAGTGTTGCCATTAAAATAATTTTATCGAGGCTAGTGAAATTTGTAAGCAGTAGTGTTTCTCGATCGATTTAAAAAAGTGAAAAAGCGATTATTGCCGAGGAAAAATTGTATTAACAAATTGGCGCCAAGAAAAGACGTCCCATTTTTTATTCTTCTGTTATCTATACGTGTATTACGCGTATAAAATCGCTCCCGGACAAAGCTCACTTTGAACTTTCATATTTTTCACGATCGCTTTATAACTCGTATACAATAGCAATTTTCTTACACACTTTTTTTAAGAAACATTTATGTCTTTCAAGGATCCACATACAGTGAGACTTGGAAAATGGATCGAAGGCATAAAATACAGCCAATGGCATGTTGAATGTCTCTGCGGGGAATGGGCCATGTTACCGCGTGTACATGTACATAGGAAAAAGCTACAGACTGGCTGCATAATACATTTGGAGCAAAAGCGTTTGACTAATGTATTAGTAATTCGAGTTAAGAATAGACTTTGGTGGAAATGACGAAGTGCTCGTTAATAACATGCATTTCCACTTTAGGTGCATGTAATTTTTGCTCGTTAAAAACCGTCACCATTTGTTAGTTTTGTTAATAGAAACGTCAAACTTTATAAAGTTACCAGGTTAAATAGAAGGTCATAGAGATACTTACACAAATTTTAAAATTAAAAGTGGTTAAGATAAAGGAAACATTAAACAAAAATTCAAAACAAATAAACAAAATGAGCAACTTAAGAAAACACAATGTTGTTCCTAAAAATTTTTAATTTTTAAATTATTAGCTGCATCTGCTAATAGTTGTTATTTTTAAAAATGTCACTCATTTAAGGTCATCAAAAGGTCAGCTGGACTTTAATGTATGATGTCTTTTGTACTGGTTCCAATATGTACAAAAGTTTATGGAAAATATTAGATAGCAGTATTGCGCATGAGGGGGAGCAAGGGTAATTAAGATTTACAAATTTATATTAATGAATTTAAATCGTAGATATATAAGTGATAACCACATTTTAACATAGCTCGCTACATATTATACTAGGCATTTGTAAAATAAGTTTTTATCTACATAAATGTTTTTTATATATATGATGTAAAATTTTTTTTTCAAGTGGTTTCCACTGCTCAGATTTCCTCTGCTTCAAAAATCAAATTTGTGCGGGAGTAGTTAAAATATTTTTAGTTCTAAAAGATTTTTAAAATATGAATGATCAATACCTACGAGTTATGTGCATTACCTGAATGAGGTTCTTTTATACAATTCATCGCTATAATATTCAATATTTACTGAAGAACTGTGCAATAATTAAAATTTTTGGTACAACAGTAATTCAACAAGAAAGGTTTTTAGTGTAAAAAAAAAGGATGATGACTGATGATGAATGATGTTCAAAATGTGAATGATTCTTAACAACACTCTGAAAATGCTTTGAATTCAAACTTCCATAAGAAATCACTAACACATCAATGAAAATCTTCTGAAAGCTGAATCTATTAAACGTATTTTATTACAAACAACTGAAATGTATTTTATAAAAAGAAAAAAACATGTGCAACAAAGAAATGATTTATTTTTCTTTAAAATATACAATGTATAAGTACTGGAATAAAAAAATTTATTCATTATGCAATGCTTTAAATGTAAAATTATAAAAACTGACGGAAGGAATTTTTCATTTTCACTATTTGAATTCGTAAACATCAATATGAAATAATAATGGCAATTTTAAACTTGTTAACGATTATTGCAGGGTGTGATTCAAACTTAAATATTTGACACGATTATTATTTTTCACGAGAAAAATATGGTTAAATATTGCACACATAGTTTTTTAATTGAAAAACAACAACCGTGTATAATACTTTAGTATACGAATCACATCTTACAACGATTATTAACAAGTTTTATATAGAAGATAAAATTAGTTCTATAATTTTCTTTTCCATAATTCTTCTAAATTGCTTTTGTATTTTAATACTTGACTTTCCTTCGATAAAAATAAATTTTTAGAAAAAAAATTCGAAAAATTTACAGTACATTACTTTCCTCGGCAAAAATTAATTAAAGGAAACCTGGTCAGTAAAGCATGCAATGCAAAACAAACATGAAGGATGCAAATATTTGATGTGCAAAAAACCAAGTATAATATTACAAACATAAAACGTGAAAAAATATGGTGAACGATGATATGCTTAAAAATCAAATCAACACAAACATATGATGAAAATATATGTACAGAGATAAACCATTCTTCCTGAATTTCAATATGAATAATACAAGGATTTTTCCAATTAAAATTTCACCATCATAAATATTGCACAAATGGAATGTAAAATTTTCGTTATAAATGAATATTTAGTTATTTTTATAACTCACTAACATTGAAATATTCTGTAAATATTTTATATTAATTCAAATACTCATCTGTAAAGGTTGATAGTTAATTACGCATTATTTAATTCGTAAAAATCATAATGATCAAAGATGTAATGTAAGGTTCAATTGCAAACAGTATGCTCTCTTTTCATTATTATTATCCATATTTTGTCTAATAAATTAGAAAAGATTGTTTTCATTCCTTTCTATAATTCTCTACCTGGGATAGCATGCAGTGAAATTTTGTATACTAATACGAAGAAAAAAGTGTCTGAAAAAATCTGAAGATAATTTTCCTAATAAGAGAATAATAGATTATTAACCTACGCATATAAAACTTACTCACGAATAACCACGTTTCATTTTCAACGCAAGCTATCCAAGGCGCACGGATTATATATAACTTAAATTAGATTGTGTTTTGAATTGTAAAAAATTGATTTTTTAAGATAATCGACTTCTATTAATTTTAAATATTAAAATGAATATGCATCCATGATATTAATAAAAAGTAAATTGAATTCTAATCACTTATTCATCTGAACTAAGCTCATTGATAATTAATATTGTCTAATATGTTGAAGATAAAAAAATTCTGAAATAGAAATGTCACTATTTGCTTCTCAATGTTATATAATATGGCTTAATTACTCAACAATAACATTTTTCAAGTAACAAAGAAAATTTCATTTAAAAACTCTCAGACTTAATCAAATTATGTTGATGCTGTAAGCCCTCGATAAGATCTTTATGGTTTAAAGTTTGTTTTATATTGATTTTACGCTCACGAAAATATTCAAGCCTCTGCCTATGAGCATCCATAATAGGCGAGAAGCTGATTTCTTTCTTAAATTCTATCCGGTCGGAGTGTTCGCTCACCTGTGCAATGCTATCGGGTATGGGTAGAGGCTTGGCTACACCGATGCGCACGACACCTTTTGGAGCACCCTTGAGTGCTTGAACTGCTTGGTCTAAAGTAGCATTTTCAAGGGCTATGTCGTTGACGAAGAGAAGTCGATCACCTGGTATTAGTTGACCGTCTACCTGTGCTACACCACCCGGTACGAGGGATCTTATAACTATCACAGTCTCATTGGGGTTCATTGGATCCTAGAAAAATGATACACATTTATTTTTGTTTGTCGAATAAGTCAAGAAGTGTAACTTAAATTGCCATCTACCTGATAATCCAAAATAGAGAACCCAAGGCCTCTCTCTCCTTTCACTAGTTCGATAATCTGTGGCTCGGAGCTCCACATTGCTAATCCAGTCAACGGTTCTAATGAGCGTGACTTCATTTTATTTAGACTAGCATCAGTCACTGTAGCTGTTGTCGTAGTAGACGCCAAGGAACCATCTGATTTAGCTTTTACTAAACGATCTGACGTCGGCAGTAAATTTTGAAGAGAACCACCAAGTATACTCTAAAAAATTGAATTTACATTACCATACTATGTTCTTTATTAAAAGTAATATACATCTTAGAAGCAGAATTTAAATGATACTTCTATCAAAATTTTTACTTTTAAAATAGTTTGAAAATCAAAAAACGATCAATTCAATATTAGAATTGAATTTTTTTGATATTTTTTATCTTGTAAAAATTTTATTTAAAAAGTCTATAAAATGAGTATTTTACGAGAGTATCTGTATTTTTATAAAAGAACGATTTGATATTAAAATCGATTGCGAGAGGTATATTAAATTTAAAAGAATATCGGTTTATGTTCAGCTTTTCTTTCATTCACTTTTTACAGTCATGCATAGATTCATATTTTTTTTAAATTTCCTGAGTATTTTTTCGAAGGATTGGGCTATTTATTTTGTATAAGCAAAATTCGTACACAACATTTTTCAATTTCGTATAAGAAACTGTAAATAACTGGAGATCTAGAAAATCATGATTTTCGTAAACGAGGCTCAAAAATCTCTAGAATGTCGTGTACGAACTTACTCCTGAGAAGACAATTTGTTTCTTTCGAATTATTAATAAATATTCCGATTTGTTTTTACTTTTTCTTTGAATTAGTCTTCTGATTACACGCAATAATTTTCTTACCCTTGTTTGGAAGGCGGCTTGACAGGAACCGGTATCAATTGGACAAAGTTGATCTTGAGAGGAGCTTCGTCCGCAAACCATTCGGACGTGAATTGGCAGTTTTTTAAGTACCGCGACTACCTCCATGTGATTTATACCAAGCAAACGATATCCATTTACCTGCGAATTCGATCATCATTTGAGATGTCTGTTCGATTCTATTGTAGGCGTGCTTAAATTCATACCTCTAATAACTCGTCTCCTGATCTTAAAACGCCGTTCTTACCGACTGGACCCTCGGGTAATATCGAACGAATGTAATGATGCGGTCTGACTTCGCGGCCATTCTCAACGTCGACTGTTCCTTCCAAACTAATGCCGAGGCCACTTTCCTCGGTAAATTTCTTCAACTGCGCAACCTAGGGATGATTATGTCAGTACAGCAAAAGTTCGATCGATAATTTCTATTCGATGATGGAGTGGAACTTACAACAATCTCGATGCCATCACCGACTATTTTCGTCCATTTAGATTTGATCGCTTCCTCGATGTTCGGAGTTAACTCGCTCGATGGTTTAGTGAGCTGAGCTTCGAGCTTGGCGATGTCGTCTGACTTTTCTGCCGCGGCATCCTTGTCAATTTCTTGTAGTATCGTGCTGTCCACGGTCGTGTGCGATTCACCTTCCGGCTCGATTTCCGTCGTCTCGCCGTCCTACAAATCAAAAATCGTGTGACAGGCGTTGGAAAAAAGTTATAATAAATGTCAAAGAGAAGGGGAGAGAGAAGAAAACTCACTGCGCTGATTGGAAAACTGGGCAAGCTGGCGATGGAAGGCGAGCCCGGCGGCGGTGCTCTCAGTTCGCTAGCTGCGATGGCCTGCTGGAGCTGCTCGTACTTGGGCCCGCGCAAATACCGTTCCAGACACAATAAAACCGTCTGTTTGGTGCTGCGCAGTACCTCCACCGCCTCATGATTCGAATAGCCCTGAAGCGAGTGACCGTTTACCTCTACAATGCGGTCGTTGATCTGGATTTTCTTGCTCAAATCGGCGGCGCTGCCCTCGCTTATACTCTTGACGAATATACCCGACAGTTCCTCTGCAAGTTACAAAGGAAGCGTTTAGACTGGTTTCGTTTGATTCGCGGTCGAAGCTCGATCTCGAGGACGAAAATACCTTTTTCGCAGACGTATCCGGCGATGGTGATGCCGAGTCCGCAGCTATCCTTTTGAAGCTCGACGGTGAAACGTTCCATCTCCGGCAAGGCGTTGACATCGATCGACGTATCCATCGAGATGACCGGCAAGTTCTCGATGGCCCTCGCGGTGCCTCCCGCTGCCGCTGTTGTTCTTGCCGAATCCATGATGACGCTCGATCGGACCGGTGTAAGCGCCGTCTATTTTTAGATAAAAACATAAAAACTGTCACATCCTGGTACGAATTTTTTTTTTCTAAATGATCATCAATGTCTGAAGCGATTCGGTAAATCGATGTCCAAGTGTTGGACGAAAAAGTTTCTTCAGCAAGAAAACAGAAAAAACTGCTCGAGTGCGACGAACTGTCCACTTGATTGTTTTATCGATTTTCTTTACTGTGTTGTACGAATTAAACTTTTCGAGTGTATCGTATAACAGAATGAAGTAATTTCGAATAGATTATCAGCGTTCCTCCGAAGTTTAATTGAAAAATGAACATTTTTCTCGTCAATTTCGCAAGCCTGAAGTATAATATACCGTGTAGCAATGGAGAAGTAAAAATTTTAATGAAAAATGAATCTTTGTTATCTATTGAAACATAATTAATTGCCTTTTTTGGCTCGTTGTAAGGGAGAAATATTCCACGATTTATAATCACTTTCATACGTAATAAAGAATTAATTTCCCTTGTCGTAATGAATAATCGATTTGTTTCGTTCTCTGAATTAATCAGTGACATACGCGCGCGCGAAGCTCGTTTCTTCTCTCTGCTCGGGCGGATATGGCCGTGGTTGAATTATGAATTAACGCTTCTAAAACAAAAGCGCGACGCAACGCGAACAAAGACACCCTTCCATCCCCTGGTATAATTCAATTCATCAACGACGCCACAACAATGTGTCGTTTTCTCGATTATCGTGTACGAGCTGAGCAACGAATGAATCGACGCGCTGCGCATTTAGCCGGGACGCAATCAACGCGACACTATATGACGAGCTCGAGCGGACAGGCCGAGTGCTGCACAATAATAAATTACCTCGATCTCGCTCTCGGTAGAAAAGACATTGTTGCCGTCGTACTCCTGTCGGCGTATGGCGGTCGTCTCGGCGCCGAGCTGCATGAGGTGTCTGTCCAGCTCCTCCGGATCGCCGATGACTTTGGTCGGCACGATGGGTACATTTGTACCGTAAACCTGTCCATGAAGACAAAATTGCTTCATTGGTTGAAGATAAAGAAATGCGGTTATTATTTTTAGTGCAAAGGTTTCGAGGGATGGTCTTTTTTTGGATGGCATAGCGAAGAATTTCGATGTCATCGGCTTGGCTTTCTTTTTATGTATAGCTGCGTCATGATAATTCGATGGATAAATCGATGGTTGGTAAAATTTTCAATAATTGCTCGCAGAACCTTGCGCCATCGAGTTGGTCTCGTACCGACGAAGTCGCTGTGTTATACACGCTCACGCTCGCACAAGCACACACCCAAAGAAAAAAAACAACATAAAATGACGTTCGTTCGGTAAAAAAAATATGATTTCAATGAAAGCTCTGTCGCATTCAATGGATTCGCATGAAATAAGATTTCCTAACGCAAAATAAACATAAAAATAATAAAAATGAAAAAATGATGGTAATTGTCGATGTCACATGCACGTATGAAATGTACATTTTACTGTATTATGAAGTGTACCATCACATAAATCAAACAAATAAAAGCAAACAAGATGTACACGATAAAACATTATGACTCTGGAAAAACGCACAAAATGAGATGAAATGCATCAAGTACATTTTACAAACAAGCAAAATGAACTTGATCCTCGCAAGCCAAGATCGTGTTCGTGATCTTTTTTTCCAACGGTTAATCATAGCACGTCGCTACGCGTTAAAATGTATCAAGCAACATTTTCAGCAACAACAAAACAAAGCAACACAAACTCATAATTCTCACACATATAAAGTGAAACTCACTGTTTTCTTTTCCCCCCACTTAGAGACCTGAAAATGATTGGTGCTTTTTTAGATAATTGTGAGAACATTGAGATGGAAGAAAAGTGCCGAGGGAGCAGTAAAATGGGCGTTATATTGTCATTTACTTGACTGCGCACTCGGCGCGAGACGTACGCGGCAGTATGGCATACGTCCGCGCGCGAGCCGAGCCGACAGCATATTCTTACCACGTATTCAGGAGTTATGGGTTCGACCGGGCGAGCGACGACGAGTCGCACGTGCGTGCCGGACTGGCGCAGCACCTGGGCGACCTGCTCGCTCGCCATGCCGCGCAAGTTGACGTCGCCGATCTGCAGCATGTGATCGCCGCTTTGCAATCGATTGTCGCGATCGGCCACTCCGCCGGGCAGTATCGTCTTGACGACGACTCCGGTACTTTTGCCGCCGACGATGCCGAAGCCAAGACCGCTTCCATCGTTCACCAGATTGATTATTTCTACTTGCGAGTATTCGGTTTGTAGCTGCAATGACATAATACAACAATTTTCCAAGCCATTTAACGACGTGATTCATACATGCGGAAGTTACTACTGCGGGAGGAGAAAGCTGTGGGCAGCTACTACCAACCAGCAGCAGCATACGTACATACGTATACGTACACTATGCAGGACGAGCCGGGCGATCTTATGCGTAATTCAAGTCTTATATACGAGCTGCTTCAACGTGCGGCAGTAAACGAGTTAACGCGCGCTCTTTCGCCTCGGCGCCGCTCCTCTATATGCACGATGATACTCTACGTACGACCGAGCGAGAGCGGCAAATTACTCGCGCTGCTTTGTATTCGGGTCATGACAATTTTATGGCCGGTATATATGTATAAATTCGAAAACAGGGTAAACAGCGGAGGAGCTCGCAAAAAATCCCGCAGCCACGCTCCGATGTTTTATTTGCGCGCTCGAGTCCAGCGAGTTCGTCTTAAGAGAATTACCCGAGGGAGTTTTATACGCCCGAGCGACGTAGAAAAGAGCAAAACTGTTTCCCCTCTCGGTCGCGCACACAACAGCGACGTCGAAACAAAAGAAGGTGACAGGTGCAGAGCTCGATATCGCTTTGCAATAGTTTGACAATAAACGTCGTCATTAAAGCTTCGAGTGTGTATATCGAACTCGGGGGGCGGGCACACCGAGAGCCAGAGCGAGGGAAAGAGAGACAGAGAGAGAGAGAAGTCATGGATCGCGGGAAGGGCTGGCCGTTGCCACTGCCGCTGTTGCTATACTACTAGTCGAGCGGTATATAGCACGAATGAATATTGGACTCGAGCCAGAGATTTGCATGGCAGAGGCAGGCTTTTCTCCGCTTGCGGCCGGTTAGCTGCTGCTGCTGCTGCTACGTACGCTATATATACGTCTAAAAGGCTAAAGTAGCTCTATCCTGCGCGGCTCTCGCGGGACTATCTCGTTACCTCTCGGCTGAAACTTATGACGCTGCCTCTGCTACTACTTTTGCTGCTGCTGCTGCTACTGCCTTCCGACCGACAATAGCTCGAGTAAGTCGGCTTCGTGCGCGGCTGCGCATATTTATTATCATTACCCCGTACGCGTTGGACATTTTTTTTGGCCTTTTTTTAATTCAACGTTGCGCACGATTGCCTCTGAATATTCAACAGCTAGCTCATGGATTAACTTTGACGCCTTAATGCTGTGCGGATGTCTGATCTCACGCGATGCTGTACTACTTGAAACTCGAGAAGCGCCGATGGCCTCGCAGTTGACATTTCCATTGGCCGTCGCTTATACTATACGGCGTTACATCGATTTTCATGCTGCTGAACGTAACGAGCGAGATATCAGCTGTCGGACAATTACAGTACTGACCTTTTATCTCCCTCTCGCTCTATCTTTGGATCTACCGACCTATCTTATGTATTAACGCTCTGTGCGTGTGTATGCAGGTATGTTTGTGTAATTCTAAGGAACTTTGCTGCACGCAGGTATATATGCGGACTTGCGAGATTACCCTTAGGGGTATTTTCTTACAACAGTACAAACGGTCGATCGGGAGTACTTGAGTTCGTTCGGCACTCCGACTTCTGTGGCTCTATGGTTATATGATACACACACGTACACTGACGCGCGCGCACGCAAAGTAAATCTCCTTTGTATGAGAAAATGAATACACGCGGAGCACTGGCATGGTCGATATATATTAAACAGTAGTAATTGTCACCAGCAGTTTCCATAACGAACGAATAAACTTACGATTTCATTTATTTAAACGGTGGGACTTTTAGCGCGACTAATTTATTCCTCTTAGGAAGCTTCTTCAGTACTGTTATCATTACTATGAATACACCAATGGGAAACGATATTGTGAATTGGAAAATTCACTCAACCCTCAAAAATTTTTATTTACACAGTACATTCATTACATAAACATTTAATCATTAGCGAGCGTAGTTTTAATTAGTAATTTGGACGAGGATAATAAATTTTCTACGAATCTCACACAGGGTGGTTTGTATTCAACTTCGGATTCGCACGAAACTTCTTTTTTTTTTTACTCCAAATTTTGACCTCAGCTAGTTTTTTTTTTCTTTTATATCCTTTTTATTCTTCATCGCATGATAAAACTGATACTGGGAATTCTCGCAGATAACAAAACGTGCGGGTCGACAAAGACACGTACTCGAGAGCCGGCCTAAATAAATATCAAACGAGTAATTCAACGCCGATATCGTATCGAGAACCGACCGTTGGGGAGCTATAGATTGTTTTTTGCTCGCTTATGCGGCAAACGCTGCGGTAGACCCATGAATTTGCTCATTGTAGACAGCTCTGCAAGATTGCAATTAATGACTCGTTGATTGTTTCCTTTTGAAAGCTTTAGTTTGTTTTGAAAAAAAAAAAATTCGCGAGTACTTCCGTGAATAACAATAAATCAAGACGTTTTTCTTTATTTTAAACAGTACAACAAATTTCGAAGGCGAGATATTTCAACTTCCGAAGTGTAAGGTTATCATGGCTAAGTCATTAATACCGAGCTTCAAGTACTTTACACAATCATTCAAATGGCCCAATGCAAAACCTAATGAACTATTGTTTCAAACGAGCTTATTTTCTATGAAAAAGAGTAAAATAGTTATTTGAAATTGTAAATGAAAAATCGTAACTTCCAATTTTGTTTCATGTTACGGAGATGTGAAAAAGGCAACCAAATAATTGAATTTTTCGTTCATATGGAGTGGGTCGATACTGACGCGAATTATTCAAACGGTATAGAATGTCAGAGTTTCATTAGTTACAGCTTTTCAATAGTGCTTGTCAAAAACACTTGAAAAGTTCCTGAAAATATATGTATTTTAAAAGTATGTCACCACGCGCATCAGGTAACGTATTTCATCTGCTCGCACGCCCGAAACGAAAAACGATATCAACCTTTTAAAGAGGCACATGGAAATGCAAAAATGTCACTGTACGGGAAAAATTATAAGGGATTAAAGAAAAACTCGAATACTTGCACAATATGCATCGCGAGCTTCATCCTATGGATAAAACATTAAAAACTCTTTATGTAATTGAGTTAAGCGTGGCTTGCGTGTGGGTGTGTATGTGTATCGTTCGTTATATTTCCTTTTTTCATTTACTTCACTTCAGTCCTCTAGAGCAGAGCAATTAAGTCCTTAAAAGAGAGAAAAATATTGACACACATTTTCTAGTCAACCTTTCCACTCCCGCAACTTTTTTGCGCAACGTCATGGTAGTGTAAAAAAAGTCACAAAATTAAATTTAGCCAACAACAAGACATGAATACTTCTTGGCGTGTCACGATATTAACAAACGGGTGCGCGTTGGCTTTGAAATTTTCACGCTACCTACAAAACACAGCGTTGCAAACTTTAACGCACCGAAAAAGTTTCGCTCGCTTATGCATACATACACGAACGAAGAGAAAGGGAGTAAAAGAAGAAAGTCTGAGTGCTGCTGCGCGTTGGCAGCGAGTTTAAAGCCTTTAGAGGGTAGTAGAGTTTAGAAACGCACAAGCCACAGAGGCCAAAACTTACCACCATTTCCCCACTCTTGGATGTGTCGCTGACTGCCGAGTTACTCCTTTCAACAGCCTGTGTTGCTTTTGGTGCGTTTGTCGTAGCTGCTGCCGCTGTTCCGCTGGCCACCACCGACGTCTTGGCCACGGACTCTTGTTTCTCAGCACCGCTGACAATCGCCTGTGCCGTCGCTGATCCTGCTGCTGCTGATACCTGTTGGCCGCCGATGGCTGTTGCTGCCGATGATACCGCTGTGGCTGTTGATGACCCAGCGTGTAAGGCTGCCGCTGCACCGGTCGATACCCCGGACAACTCATCCGGCGCCAGAGAGCTCCCAATGTCTGTGAAAATAAAGCCATAGAGATATTTTCAATTCCCGACTGGCGGCAGGGAAGCTTGTTATGATCATTAATGAAGTGATGATGCTACTTGAGCTTTGATGGAAAAGGGGTACTTGACTTCCAAAAGCATCGAATCTCTAAAATACAAATGGAAAAAATGTAAATAGACACTTTGCGAATGATCTGAATCGATAATATTTTTTTTCGTGGCTCCGCGATATTAATGGAAAGAGGAAAATGAAAAGCCAAACAAACCGATTCGTGCTCCCTTCTATCTGCATGTGTGTGTGTGTGTATACGGCGCATACTATACGCGTATATTTACGCACAGGAACGTGCACACACAGAGCCAGCCAAAGATGATCAATCACGTATCGACGGTGCGCTCTCGCGACGAAATTCGACGCGCATGATTGATAGATCGGTCAGACTCTATATGTGTGACGAATTTTTTTTCGCCCGATTCGGAAAAAATAGAGAAAGAAAGGGTTGAGCTGTACTCGAGAGCGTATGATAAACTTTCGCCGGCGCTGCGCGCGTATGCGCGTCGAGCGCGCGCGCCGCGATCGATCACAGCTTTGTCCATGTGGTATATAATGGCTGCTGGGGCTCGGCAAACGATCCGTGCGCGCCGCGTGGAATTTAATAAAATCTTCGAGTGCCGTCGATGTAACTGCATTTTGCGTGTGCGCGAATGTACCCTCGCGCCCTGACAGAATCAAAAAGCAGATTGAATTTAGAAATTGTTCGTAATTACGAACGAGAGAGAAACACGTTTGGCATTATTTTTTAATCGGTTTATTGATTCACAAAGAATGCAATAATAAGTACAAAGGCTTCCTATCCTGCGCTATTCGAGTGAAGCAGCCTAGAGGATTATTAGTCAGCAATGTTTTTAATAATGCTTCGGCAACATTAATCAGGGTCTTGAACAATTTTTTTCCTATTAAAGTATATTTTCTTCAGCCGATTACTTTTTTTATTCCCAAGTGATGAGTTGTTGTTCGCGAAACGTCCAACTTTGTAAATTAAGGATATTTTCTGCATTTAATAAACTTTGAATTTCTTCTTTGAGCAACTTATACTTATACCGTAAAACTTTTGTTTAATTTAGCTCCGAGATATTTTCGCGTCAAATTTAAATGCATATCAGAAAGTTAAGAAGTAATGAAATTCGTCATAATCACAAAGGGATCAGTTACTGTTTAAATTATTTTTAAATTTCCCAAGAATTTACGAGTAAAAACAAATAAAACGAAGCGTCGCCTTTGTTGGAGTTTAATTTTATTTTTCAAGCTCGTGGCACAGCATATACCCATTCATCACCGTAAATTACCATCAGAAAATGAAATCGAAGCGAACAGCAAGACGCAGAGAGCCCGTGCACAAACACTCACGCATATCGACAGTTGTGCATGCACCTGAGAGAATAAAGGACCAAGTTGCGAAAGTAACGTTTCTGCTGATGCCGTCGAATACGGTATACAGCTGCGAAGGTTGGAAGAATCGGATGATGCGAGATAGCCGAGAGTAGCAACGCAGCGGCACTATATGACATTGCATTCGCAGCGGTAGCCAGCCACACACACGAATCCTCAATTAACTAAAACTCGAAGCCGGAACGGCCGCCGCGCGTGGATAACTGGACGCACGCACACCCACGCGTCTATATAGCTTCATCCACAAAGCAAATGGATCTTTTTCTTTTGCCGGCTCTCGGCCTGACGCTGGCTATGTATGCATGCATACACACATGCCGTTGCGCGAACACTGGAGGGATGGTATTTACTGGCATGAAATGAGAGATAGAAGGAAGATAGGAAAAAAGCAAACGAGGGAAAGAGAAAGAGAGAAAGAAAAAGAAAACGATACGCGCTGGAGCTTGCATTGGCTATTTCGAGATTATTGCTGCGGCGGTTATCTATCGTTTTAAGACTCTTTTTATTCTCGGCGAATTGTCAATATTATATAGATCATTTGCGATCTCAAGTTCTGTTAGATACACAAGCAAACCAAGATATTATATAAAATTAGAAACAACTGAGATTTTAAATAATCCTTTAGTGGTAATTCTTTTCTTCAAAAAGATTATTAGAAGCAAGTATGTCAGTTTGGACTCTACAGTAAGAATTAAACTTACCTATGTTTACCTATGAATCTATGATTACCTATGATGTTAATGAAATCAGAAACTTTTTGACAAGTACACAAGCAATTAAAAACTATTGTTGAAGACATAAGATTATGAATAAACTCAAAATTAATTATAAATAATATTATTCATCAGCTATGAAAAAAATAACCATTATAAGTTTTTTCAAGTCTATTGATAATATTCATAAAAACTATGATAAAATTTTCATAATTAATTCTGAATTGAATGATAAGTGGATGAGAGCACGCTAGTTAGCTATAGTATATGAAAAAAACCGTAATTCTATGACTTTACTTGCCCGGCCGTCTAGATTAAATACAAAACGTTTACACCTACTTCAATAGAAAAAATTTAATGTATGCAAAATGAAAATGACGTTTTTGATTAAAACATTATGTCAATTTATGAAGTACTTATATTTATTTATGTATTTTACTTCATTTTATTCATTTTTTTCTTCGATAGATCTCCGAACAATTAATAATGCTTTTTCAAAGTAACGTTTCAACATATCTGCTGCAAAATTATTATGTAACAATCGTAGTTATTTATTTAAAAATTATTTTTCTGTAGTTTAAAAAAATATATATTAATAAAATAATAATTTTTGAATTATCAGTGTTTTTTTTAAAATTATGTCTTTAGATAGTTCGCATCGTTTTTCATCTAGACGGCCGGGCAAGTAAAGTCATAGAATTACGGTTTTTTTCATATACTATAGCTAACTAGCGTGCTCTCATCCACTTATCATTCAATTCAGAATTAATTATGAAAATTTTATCATAGTTTTTATGAATATTATCAATAGACTTGAAAAAACTCATAAAGTTGTTTCTAATTTTATATAATATCTTGGTTTGCTTGTGTACTTGTCAAAAAGTTTCTGATTTCATTAACATCATAGGTAATCATAGGTTCATAGGTAAACATAGGTAAGTTTAATTCTTACTGTAGGGTCCAAACTGACATACTTGCTTCTAATAATCTTTTTGAAAAAAAGAATTACCACTAAAGGATTATTTAAAATCTCAGTTGTTTCTAATTTTATATAATATCTTGGTTTGCTTGTGTACTTGTCAAAAAGTTTCTGATTTCATTAATATCATAGGTAATCATAGGTTCATAGGTAAACATAGGTAAGTTAATTATTTTACTCTAAAACTGTATAAAATTGAAGATGCGCTCGCGCGGAGCAATAGTCGCAAAGCGGAGAAAAGTCTGGAAAAATATTGCGCTTGTGCATTTTGACAGATTTTTGTCTTCTCTTTTCAATAATAGTGGTATCATCGAAATGCATAAGCGCAATATTTTTCCAGACCCACATGCACCGGACACGAGTAAAAAATTAAAATATGGCCCGTGCCAGCGCAGCTTCAATTTTATACAGTTATTGGAATAATTATGTGTTTCCGATTTTTTTGATATTCACGAATTTTTTTACTTTTGTTTCGAGCAGAAGCTTCAAAGCTTTGCAACTCATTTTCAAATTCAAATAATTTTTCTTCGGAACTCAGACTATATTTTGGTTGACTTTTGAATAAAACACTATTTTAATTTAATTTTTTAATTTTTTTGACGCCCGGGGTGATTTATGTACAGTAACACCGCAACTTTCGGTCAAAGTCATCGCCGAGTTCGAATTTCGACCTAGTGCGTGAGGGGGTTACCGAGGACGATATTTGAGCGAAAACATCTCGACTTTCCGAAGAAAGTCATCGTCGAGTCCGTATTCCGATCTAGTGCGTCGAGCGGGCCGCCCGGAATAATATAGTCTAATAATACGGTAACATCGCAACTTCGCGGATAAAGTCATTGCCGAGTTCGGATCCCGAATTAGTGCGTCGAGCTCGCTACCCGGGACGATACTTGTGCAAAAACATCGCGACTTCCCGGAGACTGTCATCGCCGAGCCCGGATTTTGACCTAGTGCGCCGAGCGGGTTACGCGAAATGATATTTCCGCGGCAAAATCGCAGCTTCCTAGAGAAAGTTGTCGTCGATTCCGGACGGATATCAACCTGATGCTCCGAGCGGTCATTCTAAAGAATATTTTCGCGTAAAACCTGTAATTGCGTGGAGAAAGTCATTTTCGAGTTTCGAGTTCGACCTGGTGCCCCGACCGGGTTACCCAGGATAATTGCGAGAATCTTGATGTCGAGAGAAAAATCTACATGTATCGTTTAAAACTCATACATATCAAATCGATGCGCAGCATCTATACATAGATACATTTAGCCTTATTAATCGATTAAATCGATGATATGAAGTTGGCCGGAAGACCACGTGAGACCGCGTTTTGCGTGAGACCGTTTTTTCGTCGGGGATTTTTTCTTTTATCATTCGTATTTTAGTTAATACTGCGTATTTCGGAGAGTATGAATGCACTATTTTTGGTCACTTTTTACAAGGAATCGATTTACCGAATCAGAATTACCGTATGTTTTATAGATTTCAAATAATAACGTTAGGTTGTTTTCGCGGGTCCCGAAATCGCGATTCTCGCGTATATGAGGAGCGTGGAGTGACGCTGCTCTCGTCTGCCATACTTGCCATTCGGAGCGCGACACGCGCTCCTCGATTTCATTTAGCTACATTTTCTACCCATTTCAGATAATATCCTTTTCATTTCTTTTTCGTGTAAAATTTACGATGTATACTAATTGTGTTTTTTTTCTATTTTGAAAAACATCAGATGGGCTGAACGCCCACAATTCGATAATTTATGATTTAATCCTGAATTTTCTCGTTGCAGGATAAACAGATATACTCGAGGAAATTTCATCGAAGGTAATTGTAATATCGGTGGAAAATATCAACGTAAAATCAATGCGAATGAAAGGGAAAAATAATAATTTTGAAAAATACAGTATATAAATGTAAGAATAAACAATCCTTCGTTTAATTCAAAACAGCAACTTAAAAAATTTAATAAAATGAGAATACTGTGATTTTAAAATTAATTCGTTTTCCAAAAAAAGTGAAAATTATTGTTAGTAATTAAAGAGTTCGGTACGTACCTTGGGCGCTTCTTGCAACGATCAACTCCACTAAACCCCGAGCCTTCTGGAGGATGGATATCGCCTGCTCATGGGAGATATTCGAATCCAAGGGCTGTCCATCTATAGCCAATATCTGGTCACCCTCTAGAAGTCGGCCATCGCTGAAAGCAGACAAATAAGGGCCAAGATTACTCGATGCGGTCAATGGAAAATTCGACGACGGGGGCAAATTTTCAGCTGCAATGAACTTCCAGCTAATTCGTTTCATTTTGCAATTAGTTGGGCATTAGCGGTTCGATCAAATGATCCGTTTATATGGCATCGGTCGCTCGGCAAATTAAACTCATATATATCCATCATCCAAACTAATCGATTGTGTAAACTGATACTTTTGCCGAGGTGACGCGTTGCAACGACATCGAAAACGTTTTAAAATTACACGATTAGCACGCGAACAAACGTTCGGAGCATTTGTATAAAGTTTTTCCAGATTTGAATGAAAGTACAGCTATTATTATGTAGCAGCCGAGTTTAGTTCATTATACTTATATCGCAATTTTCCATCATAACACGAGTGTGGGCGCGCTGCGCAAAACAAGCTGCAGCTCAGAAGTCACGCGCGCGCTCAAAACTCGCTCCAAGCTGATACACACACAAACACGGAGAATATGCGCGTGCACGCGCGCGCACTCGGGATAATTTTTCGCAGCCATAATGCAAGCTCACGTAAGTCGACCTAATAATAGTTATATGCACCTCGCATACTCGAGGCCTGCCGCGCGATAAATGTGTTTGTGTTGTGTGTATATATATCGTATAATATGCACATATGCGCACCCCACCTACCCTGGGCTAGGAGATCCCGTATAAACTCGGCCAGATAATGGCGCGGGTAAGGCCGAGCTTTTGCCGCGCGCAAGCTGCGGCAGTTAATGCTCCACTTGGCTATTTCCCGCTTGCACCCGCACATACGCGATACGCCGCACCGCGCCTGCATACGTGTACGTACGTACGTATGTACGACGAACGAGAGAGAGGGAAAGAGAGGAAATCGTGTCCTGTTTGGCGACGCGATCGATAGTCCTAGCATTTTCATGACGCAGTTATTATACACGTAGAACACGTGTGCAAAAAAAAAAAAAAAAATAACGCATGAGCAACTGACTGCAGCAATTTTTTTTATATACCATTCGAATGCCAAGTTGAGTGCATTATCAATCCACCATCAAACGAGAACGTCTAAGCACGCTCCAGCGTACACCGTCGGGTTAAAAATAATTTGTTTTTTTACCGCAAGATCATTGTACAAACGTCATAAGCGTTTTTGCGGTCTCAATGTATATTAAACAGTTTTGGAAAATAATCGCGCAATTTATAACGAATCGATAATAATAAAATTATTACTCACGAGTATATACCTGTTCTGATCTCTCTTTCTCTGGCTATTAATACACTCGATGTCTAGTGTATGTACGAGCTGAGCGTGATATTGCATTTGCATCATCTGCCTGATTATCATATATAGCCTTGTATAGGAAGTATATATTTTGAAATTTCGATAATAGGCGAAAACGATCGGCCGTTGATTCCTCCTTCCACCTCTCAATATGCTTTTCTGCTCTCAATCTCGCTGCTATAGCCCACATTGTTGTTATTATTTACGCACAAGCTAGCTTTGTGTGCGAGTGCACGCCATAAATCAAACAAGTGTCTGGCATGTTCTCTTTCTCTCTCTCTGCCGCACGCACAAGCGCGAAATGTATATTCCACTGCATCCGCGGTGTGTTTTAGGGAAATTATAACTGCACATACGGTATGGCATTTTGCGTGTGCACTTGATGCGCGAGGCTATAAATAACAACGGGTCAGCGACCTTATTCCGAGCTTTGAGCTTTTTGCTCGCAAGCTGCCACCACCATAATATGTTGAGAATTTCGGAAAATGCGCGGCGCATATTTGCGTTTACGCAAAAATTTTAATGCAACTTTGAAAGGGACGAAATAAAAGGGTATGGAATTTTCATCATATCGATCGGTCCTCCTTTTACCCGTTAAGGCGTCATCTTTTACGGGTTTTGTAATTACAATTCGATACCCCCAGAAAAAGGTTTCACTAGGATAAAAGTTTTTCCAGCCGTTAAAAAATATTATTTTCACGAACGATTTCGATTCGTGATATCCATGCCATGAATAAGCCATTATTCAGTGACACTTGCACGGCTCTCTACTTTTTGTATGTATATACATTAAATATAAAATGGAACGAAAATCGCGAACCTACTTTTCGAATCGGATTACGATACGTATATATTCTTTCGCCAGAGGCAGCAGCCGTGGATCGAAATCCGAAGCCATACGTTCTATCTCTTTCTCTCTCTCTCTCTCTCTCTATCCCGTGCACTGTATACTGCAAAGCAATTGAAAAGTTTTTAGGGAGTATCACATTAGCCTATAGCGACGAGTTGCACGAGGCAAAACTCGGCAATTTCACGGGGGCTGAGTCGCGTAAATTTTCCACGAAGCAAAATAAGCGCGTCATAAAGGCTCTTTGTATATGTGTGGATACGTATAAAGCTGCGATGTATATGCAAAGTGCGAACACGAGAGAATGTTTATGCGTTTCTAATTTACGAAAGCACTTGGAAACAAAATGTATACGAGTGCGAGAGAGGAGAACAGAGAGATGACGAGTTAAAGTTGAGATATTATTGTTGTTGCAGTTTTAGCTCGAGTATAAAATTTTCTCCTCTCGTCTCCCGTTGTGTCTTGTTTTTCTTGCTCTAAAGGTATACGCACACGAGCGGAAAGAGCCTCGAATAGATTTACAAAAAGAAAAATAAGGGGGGAGAGAAATACCTAGATCTATGTATAGAGTTAGAGAGAAGAGCAGCGCGAAGGCGCAGAAGTGTGAGTAGTAACATAGAAGGACGATGAGTTTATACATTAGCGAAATTCAGTCAACGCTAGTGTCAAGAGGCACTCGGAGCGAGAAAGAGAGGAAGAAAAGAAGCAGAGCAGAGAAAGAGTGGGACACAGTAGCGGAGAATCCTGACTCTATGACTTTCTGGCTCTTCTGGCGAGAGCCAGATAGTCAACGCCGAGACTTTTTATCTATATACGCCGGCCGACGAGCAGCTGCTCTCCAGCTAGTTGAAGATAAGCTCGAGATGTGCACAGATAGCACTATTAAGGCGCTCATTCGCTCGTTCAACAAGCTTGCGAAACATCAAAGCTCAACGACTCGTTGGCTGCCTGTCTCCTGCTCGCAAGCTCGGCCGGTGGAGTGCAATTTTTCCAACGTATCTTTTGCTCGTCCAATTTTCGACACGTACATGTGACGGTCGTTATATTTTTTTGGATATTGTACATTTCGCTGCAATAATATTCAATTCCCTTTTGCAGCCACGTCCCGTCCTCGATGGAGCGGCAAACGTGTAATGAGTAATTAAATTTATTTGCTTGTACACAAGGCAAACGATTGTGCGTGTTTATAGAGGTTGCATAAACGTATAGACGCCGAAGAGCTTACAGTGTGCGCTCGACGAGGAGCTTTTCAATGAATTCGGAAGGCTGATCGACAGCGTGTAATTCAATACTCTTAAACAGAAACCGACGCGAGCGTAATGGCATAAAGGAAGGTCGTTATAGCTGTCGCACGCGCGCGCGGGCGGGTGGGAGGAGGGTAGAAAGCGAGAGGAGGGGTGCAGTGCAGAGCCGGGGGGACGCACGAACGAGTATACGACGCGCGAGTTCATCTATATCGCTGTACTCAATTATCCAGCTCCACACGGAGGTAATAAACTTGAGAGTGACTGCACGCGCGAGTGCCAGGGTTTATAAAATCAGGAGCGCGTCTCGTTCGTTCATTATATGATACGTGTAGTGCACACCTGCTGATGAAATAATTCAGTGATGGTGTGTGTGCTGCGAGTGCACGTGCGTATGCGCGTGTTTCGTATTATATATATGTATGTTTATAAGCCGTAACCGAAATATTTACCAAGACCTGCACGATAATATTTTTTTTCTTCTCTCTATGAAAAAAATCCTCGCGAAAAGCGCAGACATGTATTATTTAATAGCAGTTTTCGAAATGTATACCCGCATGATCTTTTCCTTTCATTCTCCCTCTCTTCTTTTTCAAAACTATTCCGCCAACTCGCGGCTATACGGTTTGATATAAAAAATGTATCAAATACCGTCCGAGTGTATAGCGAAAGAAAGAAAGAGAGAAAGAGAGAGAGGAAGAGAGAGAGGAGAGGCGGTGAATTACATTTTTGCTCAGCTCTCGACTCTCGAAAATTCGAGAAAAACAAACTATTCTCCGCTACTCGAGCAAATAACACGAAAGAGGAGGAGGTGGAGGAGTAGCGCGGCTTAAGTCGGTAAAATAGTTGAATTCCTCATCTTCTTTCGACTAGATGAAAGAATCTATAGGTATATGAACTCGACGAGGATCCATAGTACTTGTAGCACCGAGCTAGGCTCAATTTATACGAAAAGTATCTCTATATCGTACAAAAGTAAGAAACTCTTGATCCAATCTGCCGTTCGCGCCAACTCTGACGTTTTTCCTTACTCTACTTTCTCTCTCTTTCTTCCCCTACTGTTCTACATTCTACGCTGGCCCCCCAAAATTCTCAACGTTAAAATACTGCAGTCGACGCAATATCCGCCGACGTAGTCGCACGCACTCGCGCCCCCCCCCCCCCCCCCNCCCCCCCCCCCAAAGACCATGCATAATAACGCACACCCGTAAAATAAACGGGTCACCGTTCAAAAAGAAGAAAAATATTTTTCAATTTCATCCTCCGGTAAAGTGCAAGCGACTTATGGTGTCCTTAAGGGTAGCTAGACTGCTCTTGAATGAGACGAAATTCGATTTTTTCTGGCTGGCTTTAAGCGACGATTTCTTCTTATTATTAGATCAGTGCGACATATCGTTTCGCGAAGATGGTCTTTGACATCGTTGAGCTATCAAAGAGGAAAAAAAGAGCAGAGAAGGAGCAGAAAATCACAAAGAGATAGAGGTTTCATATAGGAAATTGCGGTCCAAGTCCATGTGAACGCGGCGCACTCGTGCAAGCGACACGTCATACGTACACCGGCGCACTTGTCTCTTCTTCTTCTTCTGCTTCTTCTGCTTCCTCCTGCTACTGCAC